GCCGCCATTTATAGCTCAACCATTACACTGTGCTGGCTGGCTGGCTGCTGATTGGTTAATGCGATCACATGTCATTAATGAATGCATTATGGGTCAGCGCGCCTTGTCTGCGCGCCTTCCCAGACATCCCCGCTCCGTCGCCGCACATGTCGCCGCCATTTTAGGAAAAATTTCAATTCGCGCATCCGAAGTCTGCTTATTTTCGGATTCGACGCGAATCGAAATTTTCCTAATATTCGAAACGAATTCCACTTCGCTTACTTCGATTCGCTCATCTCTAATCTTGCCCATTTAATATATTTCAGGGTTTTTTTTGCTTTTTTTTCATCTTGCCCATTTAATATATTTCAGATTTATTTATTTTTTTTTTTTTTGCTTTTTTTTTATCTTGCCAATTTATTATATTTCATGGGTTTTTTTGCTTTTTTTTCATCTTGCCCATTTAATATATTTCAGGTTTATTTTTGTTGTTGTTGTTTTTGTTTTGCATAGTCAGTGCCCTGTGATGAGAACTGGACGGCTTCCCTTTCGCGGCAGCGGCGGTTAACCGTAGCCAGAGGCGCTTTCATAACGATCGGTCTTATGACACCATCACGATATAATTGGACTGGGCCTTCCATTTCCGAGCTTCGCATAATGGCCCCGTTATGGAAAAAAAAAAATAAAAAAAAAATAAACATGTTACAAACCTTGGCTATTTGGGGGAAAAGGGACGCTTCATTAGACGCAGAATATCGCCAATTAACAGGTCGGATGTTTGCAGAAGCCGCAATTAGGTTCCCCGATTGAAGTCCAAATGTTTATTTTATGTTTTCACGTTTCTAAAGTACTTTCAGCAAATGAAACAAAATAAAAACAACAAAAAAAAAGAAATTGCAATGTTTGGGATTTTTTGTTTGGCAGACTCGGCGGAGCTCATCGAATTCTTACACCCCGGTCACATTGGGGGCAACTTGGCATGTGATTTGCATGCCCTGCGACTTGCAAGTCGCACCCTATTGTCCTCAATTCCAGCGCTCATATCGGCGCGGTTTCCGACTTGGTCAGAGCCGCGCCAATTTCCACTACTTTTGGTGCAATTTTCATTGACATCTGTGTCAGGTGTCTTGCAAATCGCACCTCAGTTTGGCATGTTTACCCGACTTCGAAATCGTGCGGCTTCAATGAAAGGCTGGCCATACACTATACAATTTTCTGTCCAATTTCTGCCCAAATTCCTTTAGATTTACCTTCAACTATGTAGTGCAAGAGCCCGCCCAATTGGATACAATTGAATGGGATTTTGACCTCTTTGTAACATACATGTGACATAAATGTACAGATTTGAGCAGATAAGATGTGATCAGTAGCAATATGTAATCGGAAATAGTTTCAGTCCTGGTCATTAACCACATGCCGCCCAGCCACTGTAGAAATACGGCGGCAGGGCAGCACGGCTGGGCAAAACCACGTTTTAAAACGTGTGTTTTGAAAACAGGTAGGGGGGCGCGCGCGAGGCGCGCCGCCGCCCTACCTGTCCCGCCGATCACGTCCGCGGATGTCAGTCGCCAGGTCACAGCCGGTCATTACCGGCTATGTCCCGGCGATCGGCGGCAATCACTGACAGAGAGCACAGCTGCAGTAGCTGTGCTTTCTGTCAGTTCCCTGACAGCTCCAGGACACGCTGATCGGGACAGAAGAGTTTCTCTCTCCTGATCAGTGGTGTCCCGTGCAGTACACACCCCCCCCCTAGTAAAAACACTCCCCCTCACACAGTTAACCCTTCCGTGAATAATAAACCTAACCCCTTCCTCCCCAGTGCCATTAGTACAGTGTCAGTGGTTTTTTTTTTTGCACTGATCACTGTATTGGTGTCACTGGGGATGTCAGTGGCCCAAAGTCAGTACCCCCCAGTGTCAGAATGTCCACCACAGTCCCGCCATAATTCGCTGATCGCCGCCATTATTAGTATAAAAAACCCCTAAAAATCCCAGTATCTTTCCCGCCATTTGTAAACGCTATAACTTTCACGTAAACCAATTAATTTACACGTATTGGGTTTTTTTTTTTTCAGCAAAGACATGTCGCAGAATGCATTTAGGCAGAAATTTATGACTAAATTTGATTTTTGCATTTTTTTTTTACTGGACATGTGTTATAGCAAAAAGGCCAAAATATTGTTTTTTTTTTTTCCTCAAAATTGTCAGCTTTTTTTTTTTTATAGCGCAAAAAATAAAAACCGCACAGGCGATCAAATACCACCGAAAGAAAGCTCAATTTGTGGGAAAAAAAGATGTAAAATTTCATTTATGTACCGTATTGCATGACGCGCGCAATTTTCCGTTAAACTAGCGCAGCGCTGTATAGCAAAAAAATGGCGTAAATTGCAGTATCTATACCATAGTTTGTAGACGCTATAACTTCCACACAAAGCAATCAATATACACTTATTGGGATTTTTTTTTTACCAAAAACATGGAGCAGAATACATTTTGGCCTAAATTTATAACCAGCTTTGAGTTTTACTATATATTTTTTATAGCTGAAAGTAGAAAATATTGTTTTTCTTCAAAATTTTTGGCCTTTTTTTGTTTATAGCGTGAAAAATAAAAAGCGCACAGGTGATCAAATACCACCGAAAGAAAGCTCTATTTGTGCGAAAAAAAGGACGTAAATTTCGTTTGGGTGCAGCGTTGCATGACCGCGCAATTATCAGTTGAGTTAGTGCAGCGCCGAGTAGCAAAAAGAGGCGTGGTCATTAAGGGGGGTAAATCCTCAGGAGGGCGAGTGGTTAAAGATGTATTCCATCAGAGGTACTCAGACACAGGGGGGTTTATTTACTAAAGCTGGAGAGTGCGAAGTCAGACTCCCTTCTGCATAGAAACCAATCAGCTTCCAGGTTTCATTGCCGAAGCTTCATTGAACAAGCCGAGGTTAGAAGCTGATTGGTTTCTATGCAGAAGGGAGTCTGATTTTGGACTCTCCAGCTTTAGTAAATAAACCCCAGAGGGTCATCAATTAGTGTCTGAAAAGCCTTCCTCTGGATGTGACACCAACGTGCTAATAAGGTTTTGTCACCTTCTGGGAAAACTGGTTTGAAGGAAGTGGCTCCAGACAGTTCGGCTGCAGATGACCAGGGGAGCTTTAAGGAATATCTATACATCAAAGATTTATGTTTCATCCCTCATAAAAGCTAAAATATTAGTTGCAGAGAGATGAAAATACTTCCTTCTAATAGTGCACGCGGTGCGTCACACCGACACCTAAAAATCATATTTGTGGCTTAGGTAGAATGCCAGGAAAAAATGCAGGGAATGGTTAGGTGGCGCTGGATGGCGACGGTCGAATGCACTGGTGTCGGAAATCCAATCCCCGACTTGGTGTTCCAAGCCAGTCTTGGCCCAATTCAACTTGGGCAGGTCGGCACACAGTACCTCCTGTGGGCGGGTGGAGGAACACCCCCCAGAGCCGATTGGCCGAGGACTAATGTCCCGCCTACGTCCATATACCCATAAAAGGAGTACCGGGGACATTGTGATTCGTACGGAGCCGGTTGATCGACCAACGGATTGCTGACTCTCTGACTTGCTCCAGTCGCAGGGTAAATCTCGGTAAAGTTTTTTCTTCTGTCTTTTATTCCCTTTTATTGTATAGTGAATAGTCATTTGTGTGTCTTCTTGTATTTCTGTAACTTTTTATATTTTGTACATATTTTATGCTCCGCCCACTTTCGGGAAATTAAAGCTTAAATAATTAGTGACTTCTGTGTCTTTAAGCTCGGGCTCATATCTCCGGAGCGATCGGAGAGATTGAAAAAATTCGGTCCGTTTATAAATGATTTCCTATTCGTTGAAACGAGTTGCGTTTGTATCCATCCCGACCTCCGGATCAGGGAAACAAGAGAAGGCGGACAGCCCCTTCACCGGAGAATCACGAACCGATGTAATGGGGGACGAGAGACCCGGCATCGAATTTCTGATGTCCGCCCGCGGTGAGTAAAGTCGCCCCCCGCCGCTGCAGAGCGAAGTTTATTTTCCGATGTAAATTCTCCATCAGAGGATCCCCGCCGTGGTCACGTCTCTCCGTAATACGGGACGGGAAGAAAGACGAACATCGGTCAGATAACGATCGCAGACGCAAACGCACGCCAAGGACAACAATAATGAACATATGGAGGAGACGGGAATGGCGCGGCGGTGGAGCCATGTTGGAGGACGGCGGAGCGGCGGAGCCATGCTGGAGGACGGCGGGCGGCGGCGGAGCCATGCTGGAGGACGGCGGTGCGGCGGAGCCATGCTGGAGGTCGGCGGTGCAGCGGTGCGGAGGGGCGGCAGAGCCATGCTGGAGGAGATCGGCTGCATTTATGTGGCGTGCTTTACAAACCACGTGAAGCACTTTTATTCGTCTTGTTTATGTGTTCGGTCTGAGGGAGGAAATCTCCATCTTACAGGACATATCGCTTCTTCATAGGAACACTACATGGAGCTCGGTAGAGGATCCGAACCCCGTGATGCCCACCCTGCGGCCCAGGGAGCGACGGAGGGCCCTCAGGGGCCCCGCCAGACAGTAGCCTGTTTCTTTCCCCACTCGAGTTTTCTATCTTTTGTCTCTTTTGTTGCAATTTTTTTTTGTAATCTGTTACAATGTATCTGGGTCAGGGGCCGACTGACCATTCCAGCACTCGGGCACTACCCGAGGCCCGGGGGTCAGTAGGGGGCCCCATGAGATGCCCCTGGTACCTTTTATAGGCTTTTTTGGTGTGCTTTGAGTGTGGGCAAGGACACAGGGGCCCCATGATCCCCTATTGCCCCGGGGCCCCATGAGTTGTCAGTCCACCCCTGATCTGGGAACATCGAAGGACGGTTCTTATCAGAACAATCGACAAAGGCTGCCAAAGCAAAGGGACACTCAAAACATGACTTTCAAAACCTGCACCATCTCCTGTACTGTGTCCGCAGTCTCTGGTCATCCCCTGTACTATGTCCGCAGTCTCTGGTCATCTCCTGTACTGTGTCCGCAGTCTCTGGTCATCTCCTGTACTGTGTCCGCAGTCTCTGGTCATCTCCTGTACTGTGTCCGCAGTCTCTGGTCATCTCCTGTACTGTGTCCGCAGTCTCTGGTCATCTCCTGTACTATGTCCGCAGTCTCTGGTCATCTCCTGTACTATGTCCGCAGTCTCTGGTCATCTCCTGTACTGTGTCTGCAGTCTCTGGTCATCTCCTGTACTGTGTCCGCAGTCTCTGGTCATCTCCTGTACTGTGTCCGCAGTCTCTGGTCATCTCCTGTACTTTGTCTGCAGTCTCTGACCATCTCCTGTACTGTGTCTGCAGTCTCTGGTCATCTCCTGTACTGTGTCCGCAGTCTCTGGTCATCTCCTGTACTTTGTCTGCAGTCTCTAACCATCTCCTGTACTGTGTCTGCAGTCTATGACCATCTCCTGTACTATGTCTGCAGTCTCTGGTCATCTCCTGTACTGTTTCCGCAGTCTCTGACCATCTCCTGTACTGTGTCCGCAGTCTCTGGTCATCTCCTGTACTGTGTCCGCAGTCTCTGGTCATCTCCTGTACTGTGTCCGCAGTCTCTGGTCATCTCCTGTACTATGTCTGCAGTCTCTGGTCATCCCCTGTACTGTGTCCGCAGTCTCTGGTCATCTCCTGTACTGTGTCCGCAGTCTCTGGTCATCTCCTGTACTGTGTCCGCAGTCTCTGGTCATCTCCTGTACTATGTCCGCAGTCTCTGACCATCTCCTGTACTGTGTCCGCAGTCTCTGACCATCTCCTGTACTGTGTCCGCAGTCTCTGACCATCTCCTGTACTGTGTCCGCAGTCTCTGACCATCTCCTGTACTGTGTCCGCAGTCTCTGACCATCTCCTGTAGTATGTCATTTTATTGTATACTAAATATACAATGAAATGTATAAAAAAAATTCTTACAAACGGAGCTTTCTTTTGGTGGTATCTGATCACCTCTTTTCTAAGGGTTTTTAACAGGGGCATCTGCATTCCAGTGCGTTTTTGATGCGTTTTGGTGCGTTCCGGTGCCTTTTTGATGCATTTTACTGCATTCCAGTGCAGGAAACATGCAGCGGTTCTACTTTTTTTTTCTGCACTTGGAATGCACTGGAACTGCAGACTCTGATGTGAACGATGACACTGACACCCATTTCACCGACTTTCTGTGCGTTTTGGATGCTGAAAAAAAGCAACTGAAACGCATGGAGTGTGAACTGGCCCTAAGGGCCGCTTCACACTATAGAAATGCAGTCCAGAGGCGTTCTGTATGCGTTTCCACCTGCGCATTTTTTATGCGTTCCGGTGTGTTTTTGATGTATTTTTGACACATTCCGGTGCGTTTTTATGCATTCCAGTTCTGGGGTGTTTTTGATGTATTTTTCCCCTCTGTTTTTCTTCAATTTAAATAGGGACATGTGCGTTCCGGTGCATTTTTATGCGTTTACCGCGTCCCAGTACAGTTCTGTGCAGAAAACATGCAGCCTCTTCAATTTTTTTTCTGCATCCAGAACGCACTGGAACTGCAAGCGCTGATGTGAACTATGACATTGACAACCAGATCACCGACTTTCTGTGCGTTTTGGATGCAGAAACAAAGCAACTGAAACGCACAGAGTGTGAACTGGCCCTAAGGGCCGCTTCACACTATAGAAATGCAGTTCAGATGCGTTCTGTATACGTTTCCACCTGCGCATTTTTTATGCGTTCCGGTGTGTTTTTGATGTATTTTTGACACATTCCGGTGCGTTTTCATGCATTCCAGTCCATTTCCCCCCTCTCTTTTTTTTTCTTCAATTTAAATAGGGACATCTGCATTCCAGTGTGTTTTTGATGCGTTTTTATGCGTTCCGGTGCATTTTGATGCATTTTACCGCATTCCAGTGCAGGAAAAATGCCGCCTGTTCTACTTTTTTTTCTCCATCCGGATCGCACTGGAACTGCAAGCGCTGATGTGAACTATGACACTGACAACCATATCAATGACATTCTGTGCGTTTTGGATTCTGAAAAAAAAGCAACTGAATTGCATGGAATGTGAACTGACCTTAGGGCCAGTTCACACTAAAGAAATGCAGTCCAGATGCGTTCTGTATGCGTTTCCGCATGTGCAATTTTTACGTGTTCCGGTGTGTTTTTGATGTATTTTTGATGCGTTCCGGTGTGTTTTTATGCATTCATTTCTTCCCCTCTCTTTTTCTTCAATTTAAATAGGGACATCTGCGTTCCAGTGCGTTTTTGATGCGTTCTGGTGCATTTTTATGCATTTCAGTTCATTCCCCCCCTTTTTTTTACTTCAATTTAAATAGGGACATCTGCATTCCAGTATGTTTTTGATGCGTTTTGGGGCGTTCCGGTGCATTTATGATGCATTTTACCACATTCCAGTGCAGGAAACATGCCGCCTGTTCTTTTTTTTTTCTGCACCCGGAACGCACTGGAACTGCAAGCGCTGATGTGAACTATGACACCGACACCCATATCACCGACTTTCTGTGCGTTTTGGATGCAGAAAAAAGCAACTGAAACGCATGGAGTGTGAACTAGCCCTAACCATGTGTCTATCTACACCATATGTGATGTGTGTACTGTGTGAGCCTATGAGCCTGCATACCATCCAGTGTAGAAGATCGGGTTTGCACAGTTTCTCCCCTGTCCCTGCTTACCCTACCCCCCCCCCCTCCTATAGGAGGGGCTGTAACAGGGGCGGACTGACCATTTGGAAACTCGGGTGCTGCTTACAGCCCAGGGGCGGACTGACAACTCAGTCAGTAGGGGGCCCCATGAGATGCCCCTGGTACCTTTTTCATAGGCTTTTTTGAGTTTGGGCAAGGACACAGGGGCCCCATGATCCCCTATTGCCCGGGGGCCCCATGAGTTGTCAGTCTGCCCCTGGGCTGTAAGCTTCCCTCCTCTCCTTGGTGATTTCCCCAAGACTCCAAGCCTCTCTTCCCCCCCACATTAAATAAGGGCTCCCGCAATCCTTCTCAAGTTAGGAGGTGCACCCCAAAAAAGGGGAACCACCCAGCCCCACCCCCTTACCAGTGTATTGCAAACACAAGGGGTTGCCAGGGGCGGACTGGCAACTCATGGGGCCAACGGGGAATAGGGTATCATGGGGCCCCTGTGTCCTCGCCCAAACTCAAACCACACCCAAAAAAGCCTATGAAAGGTACCAGGGGCATCACATGGTACCCCCTACTGACCCCGGGCCCTCGGGCAGTGCCCAAGTGCTTTAATGGTCAGTCCACCCCTGGGGGTTGCCTACATTTCCTTGCATGCCAGCATATTATTTTTCCTGGAGCCCTTCTTTAAAAAAAAAGCCAAGCGTTTCCCCAATCTGGTGAATCGTCCCGATCTGGTGAATCGTCCAACGTTCACCACCATATTTTGAAAGACAATGGAATTTTCAATTGTTGTAGTCAGATTATAATAACATGTACAGGACTGGCAGTCACTATACTTGCGGTCATTTCTGCCCCAGCAGTCTCTGAATTCTCGGGAAGGGAACGATTCCACACGCTGAATTATTTTTCTACCTTTTCTATCCCTTCTAGATACACAATGGCGTTCTTGTTTTTCATCTTCTTGCTGCTTTCTCCAAGCGCCAGGAAAGATTGGATTAGCACATCCTTAGATCTAGCTACAATGCCTATATCATCGGTATTTCCCAGTGTCTGCACACGTTTGATATAGATGTGACCCGGGGGTTTGTATGCCGGCCTCTTTAATATCTTCTTCTAGAGCCACATTAAAGGAAATACATCGTCCTGCCTCCATCTATTGACTATATTCAGTGTCTGTATGATTATCTGTGCTCTACTACCTGTCATGGAAAGCTTATACCTTCCCCGTTAGGTCTGTGAAGGTCTCATGTATCCTGGTCCATGGTGTAGCTAGTAGTAGTTGGTCATATATTCAACTGGACCTCTTGGTATCCAGGTCATGGTATATCTAGTAGTAGTATATCTGGTGGTAGTTGGTCATATCCAACTGGACTTCTTATCTACCGAAAGATATTTTGTAGCCTTTGCAAACCGTGAAACGAAGAAGTAGCTTGGGTAAGAAACATCTTCGACATTACAGTACAAGTCTATCTGAGCGTGACTAACTACTACTAGAGACTTCCCATTAAGGTCTGTGAAGGTTCTCAAGTATCCAGGTCATGGTATATCTAGTAGAAGTTGGTCATATTCAACTGGACTTCTTATCTGCCAAAAAGATATTTTGTAGCCTGTGCAAACCCTGAAATGAAGAAGTGGCTTGGGTAAGAAACATCTTTGACATTACGGAACAAGTCTATTTGAACGTGACTAACTACTACTAGAGACTTCCCTAAAAGGTCTTTGAAGGTTCTCACATATCCAGGTCAATGGTGTAGCTAGTAGAAGTTGGTCATATTCAACTGGACTTCTTCTTATCTGCCAAAAAGATATTTTGTAGCCTGTGCAAACCCGGAAATGAAGAAGTGGCTTGGGTAAGAAACATCTTTGACATTACGGAACAAGTCTATTTGAACGTGACTAACTACTACTAGAGACTTCCCTAAAAGGTCTTTGAAGGTTCTCACATATCCAGGTCAATGGTGTAGTAGCTAGTAGAAGTTGGTCATATTCAACTGGACTTCTTCTTATCTGCCAAAAAGATATTTTGTAGCCTGTGCAAACCCGGAAATGAAGAAGTAGCTTGGGTAAGAAACATCTTTGACATTACGGAAACAAGTCTATTTGAACGTGACTAACTACTGCTAGAGACTTCCCTAAAAGATCTTTGAAGGTTCTCACGTATCCAGGTCATGATATAGCTAGTAGTAGTTGTTTATTTATTAACGTTTTACTTGTTTTTGTAATCTTGAAGACATTTTCTAGCTTTTTCAAGCCATGAACTGAAGAAATGGCTTGAATTTAAAAAATCCTCAACATTACAGGACATGTCTATGTGAGTGTGACCAACTCTACTAGAGACTTCCCAATAAGGTGTGTGAAGGTTCTCATGTATCCAGGTCAAGGTATATCTAGTTGTAGTTGGTCGTGTTCACTTCTTACTTGTTCTTGTAATCTTGAAGACATTTCCTAGCTTATCCAAGCCATAAACTGAAGAAATGGTTTGAATTTAAAAAAATCATCCTCAACATTACAGAACATGTCAATTTGAATGTGACCAGCTACTACTAGAGACTTCCCAATTAGGTCTGCAAAGATTCTCATGCATCTTTGTTCATGGTGAAGCTCGTAGTAGTTGGTCATATTTGACTGGACTTCTTATCTACCAAAAGATATTTTATCCAAGCCACTTCTTTATTTCAGGGCTTTCATAAGCTACACAATATCTTTCGGTAGATAAGACATCCAGTTAAATATGACCAACTACTACGAGCTTCACCATGAACAAAGATACATGGGAATCTTTGCAGACCTAATTGGGAAGTCTCTAGTAGTAGTTGGTCACATTCAAATAGACGTGTTCTGTAATGTTGAGGATGATTTTTTTATTTAAACTATTTCTTCAGTTCATGGCTTGAAAAAAGGAGGAAATGTCTTCAAGATTACAAGAACAAGCAAGAGTGAACACGGCCAACTAGTACTAGAGACTCCCCAATTAGGTGTGCAAAGATTCTCATGTATCTTTGTTGTTTTATTCAAACCATTTCTCATAGTAGTAGTTGGTCATATTCAACTGGACGTCTTATCTACC